CCCCCGCGGGCCCTCGCTGCACGGTCACACCGGGAGAGCGCGTCACACGGGCATGCACAGGCCCCGCGCACACGGGATACTTACTGCATCCTGGCAGGAGGGGCAGACACACAGGTGCAGTCAGCGCTTAGTTTGCAAGAAGCTTCTAGAAGTGAACACTTACGGACAGTTACTCAGGGGTGTGGGTGGCAGGGCTGACCATCCGGGCGGTGTTCCTGAGGGCGGATCTAACACGTTAGATCCAGACACGTGTCCTAACGGTTCACGGGTCAGGACCTGGGACCTACACGTGGGGTCTGAGCGGTGGCTCTGCGAGGCGAGACCTCTTCGGGCGAAAAGGGTGTGACTGACATGGCGACACACCCCGTGACTGGCCTGCAGTCCTAAGGCTGCAGAGCCCAACGCCTCTAATTCTGAATTACCAGGAAACATAACGTGTGTGGCATCCACCCAGAGTCAGGGACAGAGGCAGCTGCAGGTCACCAAAAGGCGAAGCGTTCAGCAAGATCCAGGTCCGCTCCCCTCCCCCAGCCCTGCGACCCTCCCCACCCCTCGGTGCCACCCTCTATGGGACTCACCCCCATGCCACCCTCCTCTGTGGGACGCCCCCCGTGCCACCTACCCCTGTGCCACCCACCCCTGTGCTATAGCCAGTGTCTCCCCTCCAAGCACAAGATGCTACAAGAGTTTCTGGAGACGCTGAAGAACAAAAGCTTGGCTCTCTGACCTGTCCTGTTGCTTAAAGAGTGAAAACAAAAGCAGACCAGCACAGCCACAGGGCAGCACCCAGTGGCTCCCACGGCAGTGTCTGCACGTCTGCTGCAAGCACAGCTCCCGGCCCACAGAACAGGCCACGGGCCGCCGGCAATCACGCTGCTGACAAGGAAGGGGCCCTGGATCCTGGGGTCTGAGTGTAAGTTGTGGACACTGTCCAAATTTGGGGGGAAAGAGGGCTTCAGAACCCCTTAAAAATAACTTGCAAAGGTTTATAATCCACAGAAAACTAAGCAACAGCCTGGGGCAGCTCACGGAGCTGAACCCGCACAGGTCTAAAGCGTTCTTCATCCGCACAGGCGGCCAACACCCCAGGGTCCCCTGCAGAAGAGCCACGCCGGGAGACCCCAAAGCAAGCTGATATCTGGAGGCATTTTGGGGTTTTTTAAGAACTCTGAGGGTGGCCAGCAATCCAGAGCGGTGGGCACCGGTCCCACGCGTCAGCCGCATGAGTCAGTCCCCAGAGGAGGAAGTGGCCGGCGTGCGAGCCCACGCATGACTCACCTCCTCGCGCGTTTTCTACCCATGCTCCGCGCATGGAACTTTTCTCCACTGTCCAACCCACATTTATCCCTAGTATTACTGTGATTATTATAAAACTAAAACTGTCGGGAATACCTTCGAACAACTCCATCCAGAATTTTCCATTAGACAATCCCCTTGAATGAAGCTCAGAACCAACACCCCGTCTCGCCCCTCCCACCCCCAAACACACACACACACACACACACACACACACACACACACACATGCCAGTCACTGTAGTTTTCTCAGTCACAGAGCAGGCTGATGCTCTCCTATCCTCCTTAAGGCAGGTATTTAAATCCTGTACTCTTCACAAGCAGCAAACACTGGAAGGGAGACGGAGAGTGAAGGAGGCCGCTCCACCACGCTTGTCCTTAGGACGGGGCCTGGGGCATCTTGCGGGTGAATATTATGTGTCGGAAACAGGAGGGCAATTCGAACCCAAAGACCAGGATTCATTCCAGCACAAGCCCTTTTCATGACACATTTAACTGGCATTTCTTACAGTCAACTCTCCTTGCAGGCCCACTGCTGGCTGTGTCAGTGGGGCAGGGGTCCTATATTTCACAGACAATGGTCACTTGTGTAATATATAAAACAATACATTTATAAAGGGTGTCCCAAAATTCACGCCAGATTTGAATTTTGTGCGAGCATTAACAACAACAAAAAATTAAAGCCTCATTTTACTTGGATGATTGAATCAGATTCTAATATCTGCTGCCCTTTGATTTCAATCCCTTCAATTTGATAAGCATCACCAAGTACCAATGATGGCCCAGGAGCAGGGACAATGAAGACCAATGAAGACCACGGCTTTGCGTCTGTGCCAGCAAAGCCGTGGAGGCCATTTACCTGATGTGCTATTCCATACATAACCCCATACTGTATACTTTATGAATCAATAACAAATTTACAATTTTTAATTATAAACTTGTGTTTTCTATCAATATTACTTCTTGCGTGAATCTTGGGACACCCTTTATAAGCTTGCCTTATATTAAGAAGCAGTAAAAAAGAAACTCAA